TGGAAAATACAAACCAAAATTATTTTGAGGATAGTGTTGTGACCACGGAGGGGAATGCTTATGGAAGCTGAAAAACAGGGCTCTTCACCGCTTTGTTTGACAAATGTTTATGCAAACAAAAGAATCTTCGAATTTAGAAAGGCCCCGCTCAACATGTGGCATTGTCTTAGTGTCTTATTAAGTGTTGATATAATTGTTATCAAGCAGCGCTGCTGTACATGTCAGCAGTTCTTTACTTTCAGTGAAGTGTTGAAGGTCTTTTGCTTTGTCACAGAGCTCACATTGTTTGTGCATGCATTGCACTTCTTTCTAAAATCAGCGCAGGACTTAACTACATGTCTTTGTCAGTTATTTTTTGCCACAGAGCTTCAAATTGCAGAAACTGAGAGACAGTAAGGAACCAGTGAATGTCCACAGAGTTGTTGTTTTTTGTATCGTTGCTTAATTTGTATTTGTTGGAGATAGTATACATATATATATATGTATATAATTAGTAAAGTAAAATTAAGGATTAAGGAGCAGAAATAGAATTTTAGATGTGAATAGAAAAAAGAACTTTGTTAAGCCCACACTTGAGAAATCCTTGTGTTATCAGCCCCTTGGAGGCGCCAAGTTTTCTTGAAAGATCTCAATTCAAGCGTTAGCAACAATTTCCTGCAAACTGCAAGCAGCCTAAAAGGTTGACACTCTGGTCATTTGTATCCATCCTTAAGATTTTAGTAACTTTAACTCCAGGTTTCAACCAGTGTTTGTCCTGGGAGTTAAGTTTTATATTTCAACTTTTTTTTTCTTTTAAAGTCTCACAATTTTTACAGTTCTTTCTAAAAACCACTAAGTCTCACGATTTTTACAGTTCTTTCTAAAAACCACTTAAATATTTAAAAACACACACATTTTCCATTGTTGCTCCTCAGTGGTTATTGTGCCGTGATAAGCCGTTAGTGTTTGTTTACCCAGGACAAATGGACATCTGATTTGTTGCACATCACCTCAGCCTCCTCTGTCACGTTGAAGTTTCCATCTTCAGGCTTTGGCTTCTCCTGTGGACAGACATAGATCTTATCTCTGCTCAGGCTTCATAATCTCAGCTGCACAATGGAGCTGAATAGAAAAGCAATAAACGTAATCGCTTATCCTTCATCAGCTGTGAGGCCTGTGGAGGTGGCTGAAGAGGTCTCATTTAAAAACTGTGTGTTACTAAATAAAGGGTGAGTGTGTTTTTTTGGGTTAGCGTTCTGATCAGCAGGGACGTCAGATCTGACAGCTCATCTTGACTAATGGCCCTAATAACGTTGTATGTCTGCTGGTTTAAGGCAAAAAAAAAAAAATCACCACAATAACAGGACAGCTTTATAACAAAAACAAAGCGCAATGAGACAATACGGCACTGAGGAAGGCTGTGTTATACAATATAATATTCCTTAGATTCTCTACTGAGGTTTATTGCTATTGTAAACATATTGAAAAGTTCAACTCTAAAGAGTTTCCAGACTTCTCAAACCCAAAGACCACATGTATGTAATCGCCTTGTTACCATCGCTGTGGTTTTAGTTAGTGACAGGGTGTGGTATGTCCCAGGGATAGAGTCATTTTCTAGTGACTCAGAGGATGTATCGTCATTGTAAAGTAGGAGTGATGTGCCCTGGAATGGGCATGAACCGGGGTGATATTTTGACAATGTGATGAAATCAACAAAGGCTCAGTGGTGATGATTCATGTTGTGGTTGAATCTTCTCTATCTCACCATTTTGTAGTGAGAACTTTTTTTATTAACAGTGAGGTGTTTCTTTTGTCTCCTGTATGTCAGCAGTAGGGAAGTAACAAATCCATGTAAATGCTTGGCAATTCGCATCTGTTGCACATCAAGGCGTAAGGAGTTGGCTGTACTATCGCAAAAAGTCACTGGTCAACGTAGTGATTCAATATGTGCTATTTTTGTTGTCATAGAACAGAGAAGTAACAAAGTTTCTGCTGTCATGTTTAGGACACTGACATGTGGCCCAAATCTGTCTTGTCTTGTATCAAAATCAAAATTTGTATCAAAATTTTAGGCTGGTGGATTTTCCCTGGAACATTTCTTCTCCTTGTGCCTTGTACTAAATATATAGATCTATAACTGTGTGATACTATCATACTGATATGTATCCTGAGGATATAAACTAAATATATAGATCTATAACTGTGTAATACTATCATACTGATTTTTTTTTTTTTCTTTTTTTTAGCGTTTTGTTTAATTTTTGGAATAAGGCAGTTAATTTTTTGAAATAAGGCAGTTTTTAAATCCTTTCTTGTAGTAACTTGTCGGTTAAGGAATAAAGTTACTCAGTGGTAGGATATCTGCAGTTTTCCATCTGTCGTGTCACGTCAGGAACTATTCCGGTTCCTAAAATATTTGTGTTAACTAGTCATTTGTTTTGTCAATAGTTGTTCAGTGTGGACACAAAATTTCCCCAAAGCAGTTTTCTTAGAGCATCTTATCGCCATAATTGGCTCAATTTCCTGTAGAATCAGGATGTTAATGCAGCGTACATCAAGGACCTTGATTGTATAAGCTGATGGGGTTAGTTGAGGGAGGGAAGGCAGAAGCATTTGAAGTAAATTAAAAATTAACCTTTTTCCTTAGGCAACACCCTGCTTTTCAGACAGAAAAAAGAAACTCTTTAAAATACGAATTCAAATTTGTTATTGAATAAAAAATATTTACTTACTAATTTTGTCATTTACATCTGCTGTGATTTTTTTTAATCAGATAAAAGGGTTGTTTTTTTCTTTTTTAATAGATTTGTTTTCTTCTAACGGTCACTTATGACATTTCGGTGCATTGCTGCACGGCCTGAATGTTACCCAAAAAGCACTAATAAAAACCCTGTGTTCTCAAAAGTTTGTGTTCTCAGTCACTTGTGTACTTATAAAAGTTTGTGTTCTCAGTCACTTGTGTAGCTGATGACTGAAACATATTCAGTAATGAGACAGCAGGGTCTCAGGTTGCATTTAATTATGTAACTAATACTGTAACGACGTGCTGCTGGTTCAGGTTCAGTCTCAGAACAGGATATTTTTTCGAGTGTGTAATTTTTCAGCTTTAAAGTGATCACTCTACCTCCTAAAATACCAAAAACATAGTATTTCTTCTAGTATCTTCTTCCAGTGTTTCAATTTAATACATTTATAAATCTAAATTTCTGGGGGAAAAAAGTTATTGTTGACAAATGGTCTTTGTATAGAGTTTGCCTGGACTGAGTTACTAGATCGCTGCCTCACAACCTTTTTTTTTATATCATTACTCACTGTATTTTGCACTTTTTAAATAGCTCAGTATGTGATCCAAAATTTCAAGTCATGTTTATACATGACACTTGGCCCTGTTAGTACTGTATGAAACACTTACCCTGCTTTGTCTTCTGTCAGTTCGGTTGCCCTTGGCCTGAAAGCCTGTCAAGACTCATCACTTAAGTTAATCAAAACAATTAGACAAAGATCTCAATGGTTCTATTGTTTTCCAGGTTGTATGCTGTGTTTTGGCCAGTCGAACTTCTTCCGCTTTAACCACCCTGAGGAAGCCTTCAGGATGAAGAGCATGATGCCCAAGGGAGGAATTGTCTCCACCATGGATTACAAAATCTGTACAGGTAAATATGTTTAAACTGCGCCTGTTCATTTCTGTCTGTCGCCATATTTTCACTCAACAGCTTTGTCTGACACATACAACCCAAACCCAACACATTCCCAGTGTGAACAAAGACAGACTGTGTTATTGGCAGAGGAATGAAGAAGCACCGACAGAGGAATTTTGTCTCCGAGCAAAGGGTAGTTGAAGCTTCAGTGCTGAGTGAATGGTCAGGTTGTTACTGTGGTGAGTGGGAGCAGCAGTCTTGTTCATTTTGCAGGTGGCCATTTGCACAGCAGTAAACCCTTGACATTTTCCCTCCTTTATAGCACAATGTGCAGGAAGTGTAACAGCTGCTACTAAAACTATACGAGTATATTCTTTGCTGATTTATGGGAAGGCCAATATTGTTAATGGTAAATACATACTCTTTTAACCTGCGTTGCAGTAAGGTTTCATTTGCTTTCAGTGTTTTTTTTTAGAAATGTTACAACTGAAGATCTGATTTTTAAATGATGCATTGTTTAACATTTGACCTTGTGACCATACATAAGATAAAAATAAGTGTAACCTGTGTACACATTTTATACAGCAGAGTAGAGACTGATGTCACACTCATTCTTTGTGTGTTTTTAAAGAATGTCAGATTTAGCAGCGGGTCCCAGTGCTGCATTTTCAGTAAATACCACAGGAAGAGCCGGACTGCATTGACTGTTAAAGAGACAGGCGCACACGTGAAAACTCACAGTGTCACACCAAGAATCTGTTAACTCGCCCTATTTTAAAAACTTTGGATTTTAGTTTAAATAAGTCAAAAGAGTGAAAAAACTTTTTAGTTTAAATAAGTCAAAAGAGTGATGATATACTTCCAATCAGGTCTGTCTGTTTAAATCAACCTTTTTGTACCTCTCTGTGAGTCAATACCAGTCAGGCGACATCCCCATGCTACCAACAGAAAACAATTCATTTTGAGTTCACAACAGCAACATTGTGCCAGTGAAGCTAGGCGGCTTTGAACAGGATGGAAATATCCATTAAATCCATTGAAGCGTTCCCAAAAAATGTCTTTACACCATTAAAGGAATGATAGGATTAACACCGTTTTGGCCTTTCAGGCCTAGAAAATGCAATTTCCTTGGCCTTTCAGGTCTAGAAAATGCATTTTTTTTTTGTCCATACTTTGCCCATATCTGTGTTAATAATGCTTGTGATTTTATTAGAGCGCTGTAACAAAGCTGTTGCTGTCAGCATCCAAATGCTGCACCCATTGAACCGTGAATTGTCAAGACCGCTGGGCTAAGACCTGGTGCTGCCGTTTGCACCATGCATGTTTTATGAGCATCTCATTCCTGTACATCTCCAGGCCAAGTCGGTGTGTGTCTCTGTAAGTCGCTGTAAATGTATCTTTACTTGGCCCTCTTCCCTGCCGGGACCTGCCAGAGCATGGTGTTATTTCCCTCCTCTCACTCTGGACGCTGCCTGCCACCAGGGGACAAGTTTAGCACACAGGCGTGCTGGCTGCTGTGCATTTCCTGACACACTAATGAAAGCCTTCCGTTGTTTAAGAAACCTATCATTTTCCTCAATTATACATTCCTGAGCTGCGTTCAGACGAAAGCTGCTTACACCACTCCCACGATAACGAAGGCCATATCTGTCATATCTGCTAATCCCAGACTTCAATTTGAAACTTATCTGTGTTGTAAAGACTATAAACATTACTGTCACAGTAAAGTCCAAACCAAAATATATAGAGACGTTTTTTTCAACAATCCCTTAAATACTGATTTAAATGATAATACACACATTAAAAAACATGGGTAATTGACAGTTACTGTTAAAACGGGCTGATTCACAATATTCTGATTAAACTGTTATCATCGAATCTTATACCGGGGCTTCTCTGGGAGTCACATAATGTCCTGCTTCATACATCAGTCGCAGTGTTACTAGATTAGAGAGGCAGACTGACCAAATGAGTGTCCCAGTTGCATCTTCCATGCCTGAGCTGTGCCGATCTGTTGGAGTCTGTGTTTCGTCCTCTGGTTGATAAGACGAGATGTATTTGTACTGACAGGGTAAAGTCTCTCTCAGGCGTTTGGAAGAAGTACGAGGCAATATACAGCAGTGAGGACTGTAGGTGCAGAGGTCATCCAGAGAAATGAAACATAACAAGACACATTAAGCTGTCATTCATTTTAATTTGGAGGACATGCTGCCAGGCCGTTAACAGAGAACTGGCTAAGAATCACAAAATTGCAACCTTTAAGCCACACCCCTGTCATGAAAACTAACTTCAGTAATTTAAAATTGTATTTGGACCAAGTAAAACCTGAATCAGCTATAAATCAGAGGCATCTTTATGATGTAGGCTTTGTATTAATGACGCCAGTCTTGTTCACCTATGTAGGTTTACCAGGTAAAAGATGTTTTATGTGCCACCTCTCCACCTAGAGGACAGTTTCTGTGCTTCTGTGCCAGACCAGAAAACAGTTTGGTGGAGCAGAACAGCTTTCTTAAACTGGCCAGCAGCTAAGGTTACAGTTTCTTTTTCCGAAACTATTTATAAGCCTCCAGTGTCATTTCTACTGTCTGCCATCTCTGCACCCTCCACCCTTTGGTTTCCCCTTCAGTCATTTTCGTGTACACACCCACTGTCCTTTTCCAGTACATGTGGGTCTGCCTCCGTAACAAAAGACCTCCTTCTCTGAGGCATTTGGCAGCTGTGTCTGTCACTGGCTGCTTAACAGTCTGCAGATAGCAGATCAGCTGACTGACAGAACTGGATGTTTGTAAGACAGTTGATTGGCAGTATTATTCGTTATTGTTTTTTGGTGAACAGTAGTATGAGCGTGACTTTCATTATTATTCATCCTAGAAAACTGCAGAATTACAAGAGAAATGCACCCACTTACAAAATATAGCATAATATACAGTAATATAATTATTAGAATAAATGTATGTACATTTTAACTTTCCACCGACAGCACATTTTAATTCTTTGAATATTAGCAACAAACAACAAAAACTTTTCATTGCATCATCAGTGGATAATTTTTAGTTTGTGAGACAGAAATTTTATAATAGATATATGAATACTTAAAACAATGTATTCATATAAATCTGACATTTTTCTTCCACGTACTTAACAAATCATATTTCACAGTACACAATAAACACTTGTTGATAGAACTATTTGATGGCTTGAACGCTATAAACACTGAAACTTGAAACAAACATTGCAGTTATAGCGTCACCATACGGCCAAAATAACCAAGGTAATTATTCAACTAAATGGAAATGACTCAAAGCTATATTTTTTGGATAACTTCTGACAATCAACGATTGGGTAAATGGGTATTTTTACTGCTCAGACTCAGTAAAGAGCTGTAAAACTAACATTTGTTCTCAGCAGACCGAATAGAAAGAACTCCGTCGTGTGAACCACTAAAACCGGAAAAAGATCTCCTTTCAAAACAAAATACCTATTTCTTCTACGTATGTTTGTAGCTATACCAATGGCAATCTGATTAAAGACTGTCAGTCACTGAAGCGAGTCTCAGAAATATACCTTGACCTTTGGATTGTTTTTCGTTGATTGCAAAAATATAAATATGTTTTATTCGTAATAGTTTACGGACTCATTGAAAACGCAACTTTATTTTGAAAACCTTCAACCGGATATTAACGCCGCGTTTTGTGTAACTTAATACTACTGGTTCTGAAGACAGCGGTGGTGCTTAGCACCTCAACCCCGGGCTGAGATATCACAATTCCGGCAGTGAATCTTCAGGTTTCAGGTCTCGTGTGTGTGAGCGTCGCGGAGCCAAGCCGGGTAGAGCTGCTCTGCCGGCGTCCGGAGGATGTTGGCGCCGGTGTGACTGAGTGTCTGTCACATTTATAGAGTGAACCGCACTGACCGGGTCGCAATTCTTATATCTTCATGTGAGTAACCCGGCCACAGCCACATTCGTCCGCTATCTGTCAGCTCCGTATTCGCTTCTTTATCCATGGGCAGGTTCATTCAGCAGAAAGACTCTAATGTCGTCAATACTGGAAAATGTGTATGTCATTTGATTGGTTCTCGATATGCCCGTATGCGTTATGAAACGCGCTCGTTCGTATTGACATTTATAGACCCCATTGCATGTAATACCGTTTATAAACTAGTGTGGTGTTAGACATGTCAACCTGTCGTTAAAATGCCTTTTTTTAAAACGTTCCTGTGCGACATGTACTCGTGGCGTTAGTCTGTACCCAATGACATCATTGCATGGGCTTTCCCTCAGCGGAGGGATGCATTTATTTTTGTCACCACCCCCTTTCTTTTTTGACCCTTCGAGTACAGTAGAATCCAGCGGTATGGTTGTCAATGAGAACCGCTGTGACACTGGCAGTGATGCGTGGCTCAACAGATAGCGTGTCTGACAGTGACAGCCTGCATAACACAGTGCTGCATAATAACAACCGTGGCAGTGTCCAGAGTGTGACTTTGGTCAGGCTGTCATGCAGGCAGAGTCATCCTGAAGGAGCAGGCGCTGAACTAGCACAGCTAATGCATTATTTGTGAAGCTTTTGTGTTCCACACAGCACTGTACTGTATGTTTGTGTCACTGAAGCATCTCAGTATTGCAGAGGGGATAGTATACTACAATATTACAGAATGTAATGGTCACTTAACAAAATATTTATTAATAGTATCAGGAATGCATAAGTATGAAAAATGACATTATGAAAATTGGGATGACATCATTGCATGGGCTTCCCCTCATCTTTGTATCGTTGACCATTTTTTGCTGTGTATATGAGACGTAGGCTGTAGGCTCAATGTGGCCTACGGGCTGGCTAAATCCGCTAACTATGTTTGACAAATATTTAACACAGGTATTTATTTTTAACATTTTATTGAATTACAGTATGTGCGTCACTGTCCTTGTATCTACCATACACACCTTAGCATGATAAGAACAAGGTGAAATGGGCATTTGCATGCCTCTAATTCCACCTTAGATGACCTCTATTGCAGTTACCTTGACAGTATTTCTACACAAAAGTGATGTGGTGCATCTCAGATGAAATGCCGCCCCAGGGCCTACAGGTCACTTGCCATTAGCCAAGGGTTTCTGCTGTAGCTTTTGTACACTAGGATTTCCCCCCGACTGCCTTAATTTCATGTAGTATTGTGTAGGTGGTGACATACTGCAGTATAGCCCAACAATGCAACCCATTAACCTACAAATTGAAGAATGTCCTAGAATGTCATCTTGGCTCTGTGCACATTGCGGTGTATTACTTTGTAATACAACGCAGCTGCATTAAGCTGTGTTGTTATAGCTGTTACACTTAAGATCTTTATTGTTGTTGAACCACAATTGAACATGACAGCTCTATTCTTTGCGTCTGGTGTTACCTCCATCTGTGTTCACGTTAATGACGCCACAGTGCAATCATCTTCATGGTTCCATTGACACAGACACAGGGTCCATTTACACAGATTTCATTTGGCAGTTACAAAACCTGATCTGTTTTCTCATCCCAGCCTTAAGGCTACCTCGGTGAATGAACCACGTGTCCGTGTGCTTCTGTCCTAATAATTGACTGTGCTGACATTAAAGAGAGACGGTTAAGATTAGATTACCCAGCCTGTGTCCTATGTTGCTTTCAGGGCTCACAGTAATTGAATTATGCAGGCACATTTTCTCCCAGTCCCTATCCGATGTACAGGCACTGTTACTTCATTCATCTTGTGGCCTGTGTTGACGTACCTTTCCTCAACTTTCACTTCCACTGCCTACCTACTAGTCAGGACAAAAGTTCATCCTGACTGGGTAGGAATTGCCCTATATTTATTAAAGACCAAAATGTCAAACTTTTGTTGAGACGTCAGGCCAGTAAATTTACAAAGGTCTTAAGATGTAAATTTGTTCTACATATATTATTTCATTTGGAACATTAAAACCATAGGTGGCGCCGCAAGAGGAAAATAGGCAGCATTTGATTAAGACTAAAAGATAATTAACAATAATTACTCATTTAATTATATATGCAAGTTCTTTGATTGGAAAATTAAATTGAACATGAGAGTTTTTCTTGGTGACGTAACACATTCTCTCTGATCCTCTTATATGGTGTTATATCAGCATACTTCACCATTCCCATTCTGGCAGATATAAGAACCTACGGTATGGTGATCTTAAGTAACTGTTAAAACACACAGGCAGATCAGTGTTTATGGAGAGCTCTGATGAAAATCACACTGTTGATCCTGATTCTATCCTGATTTTATATCATTTTCTGTTTATTCTCTTCAGACACAGAGAGCTTTGTCAATGGGAATCACCAGACCAGTCCAGCCCAGTCGTCCCCAGCGAATGGCGAGAGAAACCAGTCTGAGCACAGTGCTATTGTCAGCTCTATTGAGAAGGACCTCCAGGACATAATGGATTCTCTAGTTATGGATGACCCACAGCCTTCTTCTCTGGACGTTAAAAAGACTTCAGGTGACCGCCTGATTCCCCACTCACCTCTGTCGCCAATGGTCAATGGAGGGGGCAGGTATCTGCTCTCCCCACCAACCAGCCCAGGAGCCATGTCTGTGGGGTCAAGCTATGAGAACACATCACCTCCCTTTTCTCCCCTCTCCTCCCCCTCAGCAGCCAGCAGTGGGAGCTTCACCAGTCCATCTCCTAGTGGAGGACCCCAGGACCAGAGTTCTTCTCTGCCACCAGTGCCTGTTCGCTCCTCAAGCTACAATTTCACATCACAGCCTCCGCCTGTGCCCCACCCACGGACCATTCTGCCTAATGCAAGCAGCAGCGGGGCGGGGCAGAAAGTTCAGGAAAGTCCAAGGCTACAGAGGAAGGTCTTCACAGAGGCCCCTCCAAGTCCTAAGTTAAGTCGTAGAGGTCTCAGCCTAGATGGGTCTGAGAGTTCTCGACACGCTCCTCATCTGTCCTCCAGTGAATCTCTCAATAGTAGGAACCTTGTGCCAAGTAGCCCCAGACTCACTCCAAAGTTTCCTACTTGTTCATCCCCTTCTCCGGCCAGTCCTCGGACCAAGACGACAACAGTGCTCCAGGAAAGGCCTGCTAGCCCCTTCAGAGAGCAGACGATCCTAGCTGATCGTTCCCTCACATCCAGCCCTTCCAGACAGATTTCTCCACCAATGAGAGCCTTCCAGCCCCCTTTGGACCCTATTGTCCATGTCATCCAAGGATCACCGCTACAGCAGCGTACTCTTCAGCCTTTAGAAAGCCCACGCATGGCCAGGAGGAACCTAGAGTTAAACGGAGGGAACACAGTGAGCAGCACCATGAGAGAGTTGCCTCCCCTCAGCCCCTCCATGGCCCGGAGAGGGGTCCCAGTACTTCCAGGAGCACTGCCAGGAACTGTACCCATATTGCGCACTCCAGATGGTCCTTCCAGCTTTAGTAAGCTTGTCCCAGAGAGTCCTCGGCTCAGGCGAAAAACTGGATCCACATCTGAGGATCTCATTAGTAGCAAAGGAATCCGAGCCCGCAGTCCATCGCCTACTTCTATTCTGATGGAGAGCAATGGGGGCGGCTCAGGAATACGGAAGGGAAACGTTGGGAATTCCCTCTCTCCTGCATACAGTCTGGGCTCCCTGCCTGGTTCATCTCCCGCAGCCAGCCCTAGGACCCATCGAAAGATGGCTGCAGGGAGACCCCACCCTGGGATGAGAGAAAGGAAGAACAGCATCACAGAAATCAGCGACAATGAGGACGAGTTATTGGAATACCACCGCCGACAGAGAGAGGAGAGACTCCGAGAGCAGGAAATGGAGAAGCTGGTGAGTGATCAGAATTATATTTACAGCTGTTGTGATGTTATCATAATATTGTGAACATTTGGTTTGTGTCAAACTTCACTAAGCTGATCTTCACAAGAGCAACAACAAACATATTCTACAATCAGATTAGAATATACTTTTAAGATCCCCGGGAGGAAATGGTTGATGTTCTCCTGCATCAAATTAGAGGAATGTTAAGTTCATAGAGACATGAACTCAGACAAAACTGATACCTGTATCTCAGATTGCATCAAATTAGAGGGAGACATGAACGCAGACAAAACTGATACCTGTATCTCAGAACTTCAGTAAAAAAACAACAGAACAATAAAATTACATATAAAGTAATTAATGTAAATTAACCATTTTATTTTATTTTTATTATAAACAATATTTTCAAACAGAAAGATTTGCTGTCTTTTCAAATAAGAGTAATTAGTAACTTGTTTTTTATATATTAGTAAAATATCTCCTGTTTGGACCGAAATAGTGTTGATGTATTTTTCCCTTTCATCAGTTTAAAGAAATAGTATTTTAAGGCAAATGAGTGCATTTTTAGTCATTTTTAAGAAACTTTTTTTTTCGGAGATTTGTTCCGGAAATTATTGGTATAGTATTATACTGTGATCAAAAGTTGACGTACCAAAAAAGTTTATTTTTTCTGAATTTTAACAACAGAAATGAACATAGCTAAGTATTTTAAGACAAATGAGTGCATTTTTAGTCATTTTTAAGAAACTTTTTTTTTCGGAGATTTGTTCTGGAAATTATTGGTATAGTATATCACTGTCATCCAAAGTTGGCGTACCAAAAAAGTTTATTTTTTCTGAATTTTAACAACAGAAATGGACATAGCTAAGTATTTTAAGACAAATGAGTGCATTTTTAGTCATTTTTAAGAAACTTTTTTTTTCGGAGATTTGTTTGGGAATTTATTGGTATAGTATTGCACTGTGATCAAAAGTTGACGTACCAAAAAAGTATATTTTTTCTGAATTTTAACAACAGAAATGGACATAGCTAAGTATTTTAAGACAAATGAGTGCATTTTTAGTCATTTTTAAGAAACTTTTTTTTTCGGAGATTTGTTCGGGAATTTATTGGTATAGTATATCACTGTCATCCAAAGTTGGCGTACCAAAAAAGTCTATTTTTTCTGAATTTTAACAACAGAAATGAACATAGCTAAGTATTTTAAGACAAATGAGTGCATTTTTAGTCATTTTTAAGAAACTTTTTTTTTCGGAGATTTGTTCTGGAAATTATTGGTATAGTATATCACTGTCATCCAAAGTTGGCGTACCAAAAAAGTTTATTTTTTCTGAATTTTTACAACAGAAATGGACATAGCTAAGTATTTTAAAGCAAATGAGTGCATTTTTAGTCATTTTTGAGAAACTTTTTTTTTCGGACATTTGTTCGGGAACTTATTGGTATAGTATTATACTGTAAACAAAAGTTGACATACCAAAAAAGTATATTTTTTCTGAATTTTAACAACAGAAATGAACATAGCTAAGTATTTTAAGACAAATGAGTGCATTTTTAGTCATTTTTAAGAAACTTTTTTTTTCGGAGATTTGTTCCGGAAATTATTGGTATAGTATTATACTGTGATCAAAAGTTGACGTACCAAAAAAGTATATTTTTTCTGAATTTTAACAACAAAAATGGACATAGCTAAGTATTTTAGGACAAATTAGTGCATTATATTGGTGACATCAGCTATTTATATTCCATACAATATATTGACTCAAGAAGACTTTTATTCTATGTTTGTTTTATTTCCAAGCGATGAACATAGTTCCATTTCAAATTTTGTGATTTTTCAAGCAGGCTTCCTGGAGATCAGGAGGTCAGACCATAAGACAAAGTCCTGGCCATGGTTGCCCTTCCTTTCACTGACACAGACAACATAAACACTCTGTAACTGTCAGACATGCTGCTGACGTGGTCTCCAAGCACCAAGATGAGCCCATAGCAACCACATTGTTTGTTGTTTCCTAAACGGGGGGGGGAGGCAGGGGCAGGGAGTGGTGGACAGTAGACATCTTGAACTTGTCTCCCACACTGAATGAAACAGCAGGGGCAAAGTCAGTTAAACTCTTTATAAATATGCGTGTGTGTGGAGGTGTGTGGGTGTTTGGTTCTCCCTGCTGGTGATTATAAAATGTTAGTTTAAAGGAGACCAGCTCAGTTGGAGAACGTGTGACCATAACACGTCTGCATGTTCTGAAACTATGAAGTACTGCGTCAGTATACACAGGCTTTGTTTTAACCCCAAATACTGAGCTGAAGAGCAGTGTTAGCAAAAAGAGCACAAAGTTCCTCTCCTAGCGAGTTCTATCAGGGCAACTTTAACTCTCAATAATAAACTAAACTTAAACTTAAACTTATCTTTATTAGTCATTGTGACACAGCACGGCAGCACAGTAATGTTTCACTTATTGTAGCAAAAATGCCAAAATGATAATATTTTAATAATTGATCTCCAGTGTTTATTCTAAATTTAAACTGAATATCAATAAAATCCTAAACCCTGGCACAGGCCAATAAGAATATCAGGTAAGGCTATCATAGCTAAGATAAGCTAATAAATGCTAAAACTAGCTTATTAAATAACAATAAGGAAGGGAATATTTTGAAATAATGTTTAAGAGCAGAAGATATTGAGGAGTTTAAGGAGTTTATTTGAAAGACAACAAACCTGTTTTTTTTTGTGTTTTTTTTTTGGCACAATAAACTGTTGGATCACAAGGTCAAAGAGACATTATTGCTGCCTAAAAGCAGCAGTCATCAGAGACAGTCTGCAGGGTCAGTCAGACACACAGTCACAGACAGTGTCCCTCAGACGTGTGATGATGATGATGATGATGATACTGTTGTAGTTTGTGAGGGTAGAAACTCTCAGCTCTCTGGCAGGGCGTGGAGCTGAACGGTCTCTTATTAGTCAGAGTCGACTCACTGTCATTACAGAGTTTCTCTGCTCCAGAGTCACTTTGCTTCACACACAGACAGCTTCCAGTTCACACAACAGTTCACCATACGACAGTTTACTGTACAGAACAGATCATGTGATAGAGTCTGAGTCTGGAACAGAAGCAGAATTTGTACATTTCATCATGGAGAACGCTTTCATTGAACATTATTACAGGATATAATCCATTTGGATAGACACAGTGTTGCACAATCCTACTTTATTATGAGCACGTGTCAATGCCCCATTTACTATATTGGATTCTTCATTGTCTTTGTCTGTTGTTGTGATTGTTTTGTGACCTGAGTATTGAATGGATTGATGGTGAAGGGATTTGTATTTTGGTGCACAGAATTAGTATTTTAAATTAAACTGCCCTGGTTAAATTGTATGGAGTTAATTATAGGGCTATGACAACAAACCAATTTATTCTGTTGATTAATTTTTGATATTAATCCGATCAAAATTTGTAGCGTAGGGGTAGAATGTAAATCCAGTAATCCCAACGTCCATCCACTTATTGTTGCTCTAATATTACTGTTGTTAATTGCACACATACAGGAAAGATTTTTCATTAATTTCATTTTGTGTTTAAGTGGTTTCAACTTAGGTGAGAATCCCGACTACCGTCAGACAAACAAAATTTGTATTGTTTTTGGAATGTTGATTAATCACAATATATCTAGATAAATAACTCTAGCGATCAATATAATCACGATTAATCACAATACATCTAGATAAATAACTCTAGCGATCAATCCTTTCCGTCTGATCTGAGCCGTTTTGCTCAACATCGCTCCTCTGTGGCCTCGACCTCCTGACAAACTCCCAGTACAGCAGGCTGCATGAGCTGCAGACACAAGCCCAGTTGATCCATTTGGGAAATATGACCTCATCTTGTCACTGCCAGTAACGTATTGTTTTAAATAGGTGGTGACTTTGTGTTAAGGACTGTATCAGACACTGCAGCCTCTGCTGTTGGTTCGTTCTGGACTCTCTCTGTGTTTGTTTTATTTTAAATATTGAGCAAAAATTATGAGACATAAGTAATAACAATAGACAAAAGTATTAAATCGGATTTACTGCCACACAAAATCCTTTATTCAGAAATAAATGAGTAAAAATCATCAATGCATCAACTCATTCAGTTTTTGAATATTTCTGCAGCTGTAGCCCTGCAAATGTTGATGCAATAACTGATTGATTTGTTTTTTGTCAAAATCACCACCAGAACGACGACCGAAGCAGGTGGCTCCTGCAGGGTTACAGTTTATCCACTAGAGGGAGCCAACTAACTACCCACCATCCTTCAGGTCGTTCTTTTGCAAGTTGTGAAAATAAGATGACAACGAATATAAAAGGCACGTGACAACATTTTTAACGGTGTATTTGTCTTAAATTGCATTTTTAATAATTAATCCCAAAAAACTAGTATACATGAATTATAATTCCATAATTTACCACAAATTAATAAAGTTGAACTAAAAATCGAAATATTAGAGTATAAAAAAAATAATTACTGAAAATGCCCAATATGTCTTTTAGACTTTTTTAAAGTCTAAAAGTGGAAATGAGAAGCGTGAACCCATCAATGTCGGATTAATATACATTTTTGTGTAATTTTTTTAATAGACCACAGAGTACTTCCCTGTAGTGCTTTCTGGTCCCCAATGGAGGAACAACCTCAAGTCTGGTTTATGTTATTGATACTCTTACATTAAATTCAATATTTTTAGCCAAGTTCTTACCTGTTTTTTTTTTTTCTTAATTCATACGTACAGTGCGACTCTTTTCAAATAATTACATTTTATAAAGTTCACTCGATAACAAGGTGGTGGTGATTAGTTGATCATTTAATCAATCTGTTGCCATGTGTCTGCCCAGCACTGGGCACAGATGGACCGCCTGGGTTGTGAAGACATTGCTCTGATGGGCTGGAGTAAATTCATCAGCCTATTCTAAGGTCACTCACATAAAGCATGAAGTTCTTCTTGCGGTACAAAGTTAGACCCACTGCTTTTCTTAGAACCCAGCCCACAGTCCACCTCCCACTTGAGGAAGTCTCCACACATGTTGATCTCTAGCTCCACCCCCGTTCTCATGGATTCTTCTCAAACTCTCACAAGACTTGGATGGAGGTTGCCCTGAAGTTGTGGCTCTCAAAAGAAGCGCAGCTTCATCTGACGTAACGTTACAGTGTGGCAGGAGATATATGGAAGAAAAAGACTGAGGGGAAATTTTCACTTCTGCGACAGCCTGTGGTTTGTGTGTGTGTGTGGGGTTGTTTGTGTCATGGACCGGTATCATGCGCTGCTGGGCAGCAGGACTATACCAGGGAGACGAAGTCAGAGTCGGGAGCAGGCCCTGGTTTATTGGCAGTCTTTGGCTCAGGAGAAGCCACTCTTTCTGAAGAGTGTTGCGGAGCTCATGAAGGTAACTCAAGCTGCTGCTAATATTAACAAAGGTCTGGCTGGATTTTAAATAGACAGTGATTTTCTTTTTTCCGCTGTGCTGTTGAAGTGTGTCTGCTCAGAGCCCGTTGGCTGCATGTGATGCTGTGTGGTTTCAGGCTTCAGAGGTTTCACTTGTTAAGTGTCGAGGTCAAGGGCAGCTCTCAGGCTGCTATGCTGGGATTTTATGAGTTAAGTGAGAGAAATATACCACAACTCCGGGAAGTGAAAGTGCATGATGCTAACTTTTGACATTTTTACATATTTTATTTGAATAGTTTGCAAATCTTTGACCAACCAGCATCTGAGAACCAGTGAAACTGGTCTTTGTGATTACCAGTTACCCTGAAGGTGGTTAAAGGCTACAGTGTAAAGCAGGTCATTAACGGGGGCTTGGGGCAAATTAGCCGTTGAATGCCTGAAATTGTCCTTGCGTGAGCTTTTAATGCCCTTACTAAAATAAATATTAAACTTTCAAAAAGCTGGAGTTGGATATGTTCAGCCAGGCATCTGTTGCACAGGCCGCCCCCCTTGGTCCCCCCATGACCTTCACCACCCGCACCCCACTACCCCTTTTCTTCTACATGCACAAATGCCATTGTTTGCCAGGGCAGCAGGCCAATAGCACTGCTGGCCGGCTTATCTCTGCACAGAACATGGAGAGGTTTATATTTAAAACACGTGCACTGGAACAATGTAAAGTCAAAACAGGCGCAGATCAAACAGACGATGATGAGATACTGTCAAAGAAGTTACTGTCTGTAGTTGGAGGAGCGACCGCATCAGAACATTTGACGACATGAAATACTATTGCCCTGGAACATCAACAAAGTTTCATCAAGATGTGTTCCAGAGAGGCTGAACAACGACAAAGAATAAACCACAACTCACAACAATACATTAAAAAAAAAAACCAAAAAATATTTCCACTATATTCTTTGGTGCTGTAATCCACTGTTTTCTTTCTGCTAAATACAGACACATTAGTATTAGACTCGGCCGCTGACAGCTGAGTTGTTCTCACACTTATAAATCATGGTGCCGATTTCAAAGAGACAAGCCGCATTTATCTTTTCTACAGATCTGTTTGGACTTTGTTGGAGTTAAAATTATTATTTTTTTACCTCAACAAAAGCAAGTGTGTTAATAACAGATGGTGCATGAAAAGCAAAACAGTTGTCATCGTTGTCTGACTCCTTCAAAATACTTGTCTTGCAAACGATTGTTTGGCATTCGTTAGAGAACTCGTTGTGATATTGAATAAATTTCTAACATTTTCTTAAGTTTATTCCGCTTTATCAAAACATGCTACAGTAAGATGGCAGCGTCAACACAGTCCCCTTCACTGGCTGCGTGCCTGGGAGACTTGGTCGTACTTCTGTCTCACAACAACAACAACAACCAGCGTCCTCTGTCTGTTTGTTCTACGCCACATGTTTGGAGTCTGTAAAACACAACTCCAGTCTGGTCTTTTGATCGCTGTGTTGTAGTCGTATGGAAGTATTACTAGAACTTTGGTTTTTTTTTTTTTTTGGCGAAGACCAAGGGCCTGAAGGGCTTGTACTCCACAGAAGAGCTGTCTGAAGTTAAAAAAGAAAAGCCACCCCCAGCAGCTGCAACATCTTCATAGTTTCACCTCCACGTCGGTGCGAGAGACGCTCGACATCGTGGACCACCAGCTATTTAGTCATTATGGATGTTTGCTGCCGCGTCGTCCCTCTGTCTCTGCTGTCTTTGATGTTAGTGTGCTCCCAGAGGGAGAACAACAAAATACACGCAGGGTTCCCAGTGTGTGGGTTTTACTCTGATTTCCAGACAGATCGTTACTATTCCAAATGAAAAATGAGGAAATGTTTTACAAAATTTATTCAGGATACGAGGATTTGACAAATTGTTAGAGGCCGTGACAAATGTGATAAATGTAGGTGAGGGTGGAATATGCAAAGAATTCAGGCAGCCGAGTAGAGGAGAAAAGAAGAATATTATTATGGATTATTGGATGGATTATTATTTTACAAACATGAATATGTTCATAGATAGAGCTTTAATAATCCCTCGGAGAGTCCGTTCCGGTTTTAAGGAAGCTCATTTTCAAGCTCAAGTTCATGAAGCAAGTCCTTATTTAAGTGGGGTTGTTAAATTTAATTGTTGTCTGTTTTTAATAGGAAACGCTAGTTCTCTGTCCAAAAAATAAGCTTCCAGCAGCTTTATGCTTAAAACACTGCTTAAGATAAGATTTTAAATTAAGCCATTAAATAAAATATTTTCCTCTCAATTCCTCTAGATTCCTGTTTTCAGAAAACTTTTACAAATATCACTTGTGTTAACAGCAAATTCTGATTCACTCTTTTGAATAACTCTGATCTGATCTGATATCTGATATATTTTAGTCCTAGTCTGATTTTTGACTAAATATCAAAAGTTTTAGTCAGATAAATTGATGAATTTGTTAGTTGAACGTCTCATACAAACTCTTGAATAGTTGTTGTTTTGTTCTCTTTAATGATTTACATGAAGCTTCATGAAGTGTTTTGTTTCTTTTTAATGATTTACATGAAGCTTCATGAAATCCCTGGACCTTTTATTCTGGACTGTGTTTCTTAGGTTCATTGTGTCTTTTTGTTTTCAAGCAGCTTAACTGTAGACACACACAGAGGTGTGTTTGTGCAGTGTGTGGAACTCACTTTACGTATTTCCCAGTCATGTGTGTAGTCCTGCCCTCACATGCTGGGAAACTCAACTGAATTATGAACCATAAAAGAAACTTAATTTAACACATATAATGAAACTCAATGCTGACTCATGCTGCGTTAGGGCTGTCTGTAAAGTACATTTCTGTCTGTAAAGTTGTTTTCTTTTCTAATATTGACTTTCTTTTTAAACTATATAATCAAACAAAAAGGTTCTAGCTGTTTTGGTTTTTTGGCGTCGTTGGCTTCACATTTGGGCGTCATTGGCTTCACATTTGAGAAGCTCCTGTGAGCTGCAGCTGACTGGAGTTCCACTGCTGTCACCACTGAAGTTTTTGGAACCTGGGTGTGGATTGGACTTTGTTGTTATTGTTGTGTGAGTGGTTCATGGGTGGTACTTAGCTTCCAAAGGTCATTATTTGTTCAACTGTCACATTGTGAGGCTGCTGTTCTTTGACTGTGTGGCTCAACTGGAGGTTTGAGCTGCTGCTTCTCACAGTCCAACATGAGAGTAAGTGGAGACATTTTTGTATTTTATTGTAAGGAAGGTCGGTGATTGTTTTTCTTTATAGCTTAAAGATAAAGAACAAAGATGTTTTTTTTGGCAACTGCATTTAGTTAGAATGTGGTTCATTAAAACTTTAGTTTTCACCTAAGTCATGTGATCGTGTCTAATGTTTATAGGCAAAAGGTTAATGAACAATAGTTAAGACTCACATGCTGGGCCGTGGGTGTTTTATCTGAGAAATAATCGACCTTCCTTCTCTAGAGAAACACTCACGTCATTAGACATGAGGTCTACTCTGAGTTTTCTCTTCAAACTTTGTCAATCTGATTTTTTCTATTTGTTGCAGTTGAAGTTTTTTTTTTTTTTTTTTTTAATGAGTTCTGTCAGATGGACGTGTGATTGCCAGAGCAGCTGTACTGCACTGTTCTCCGTACAGGACCTAAACATAGACTGTGTTTGATACAGTACTAAACCAACTGGATGCAAATGTGTTGCTCAGCTCCATAACGTAAGAACAGATATGAACACGTGTCACAGGAGAATGGACGGAAGGCAGAAGCAGACTTGGACAAATGTGTTGGGGATTTCTAGATGTTATCTTTAAATGATGACGTGTACATTAAAAATACGGAAACGTATCGTTATTATCTGTTCAGACCAAAGTCAGGAAATGATTCATGCCTCATACAATGTACAGGTTATGAGCTGGTGGTCTGTGTGACGGTCTCTAAATGTTTGCTGCAAGAAAAGTCAGGAATAAAAACACCGACAGACTGATTTCTCTGGTGTAGTTTGAATTTTCTTAGTGAATCAGTTAACTGCCCTGAGGAGGAAATGGGAGGCATTTTTCTTACTCATTTAGTTCAAACTGAGTGATCCTGTGATTACAGGTTAAAACTAACCTCTCATCATGTAGATGTTCACAGAGTGGGAGAATCCTCCAGCTCCAGGGAGTGAGTGGTTTTCTCCTTTTATATGAGGAAAAAATTGTTTTAGTTGTAATGCCTTTTTCTATGTGTTGCTGCGAGTTTAGTTTGGCGTCAAGTAAACGCCAGGTTATTTCAGGACATGTAATATCTCAGTGTAGTAGGGTAATGATGTTGGTTGGGTTTGTGATCTGTACATTCAACTGCAAAGAGTTGCTTCTGTAGTCGTTACACAACATTGATTGAGTTAAAGGCAGTGTTTCTGAAAGCCTGGTCTGTAGGATTTGTTTGCATTGTACACTTAAGGCCATAATCTTCCAACGTAATGCAAGTCAAGTGATCCAAGAACAGGGAACAGGACTCCCAACACCTCCTCTGGGGGCTGTTACCGGCCTCAGATCCTAATCTGATCTGTTGCATCATGGGTGTATTTGATTGATCACCAGTGAAGTTCACAGACAAAGAGATTGTTCCCTTTACTTGACCTATCCTTTACATGTGCTGTCAATACACCATAGATTCATGAGAACTTGGTTGTCAGTAAATGAGCAGCGTCGTCTGTTTATGATGCAACGAATCCTATAGAACGAAGGAGTTCGAGCATCAGTGGAAACCCTGTCAAACCTGTGAGAACTGAGAAGGTTTTAGTAAAGATTTTAAAAAAGCTTTAGCTTAACTATCTTTTGCATATCTAAATTTGTAATTGAAAATATTTTGACATCCTAATTTGTTAGAAATTTGAAAACATTTCTGAACATTTTTGAAAAAAATCTCCTTGAAAAGTAGCTATAATTTAAGCTACGCTGTGCAGTGTAACAGCAGCTGACATCTCAGAGTTCAGAGGTCACTCTCTTGGTTTGGTCTGCCGGGTGCCCCCGTAGGTGGGCTGACCCCTTCATAATGACAGCTGGACAACCAGTGAGAGAGTCTGCAGCCCCCCAGGAGAGAGGACATGACGTGAACCACGGTGTTGTTTCAGCCATGAGTGGAGTCTGGTCAGACTTCACGTCTACTCCTTAATGAGACGAAGAGTGTTCATCGCACATAATCTAACAGTCCTGATGATAATTCTGCACTTTGTTCCTGATCATCATTAGTGAATTAATTATGCCAGTCGAGTGGTTAACCTGTTAACCATGGTCACTGGTCAGCATAAGAGCAATTTAACGTTACTCTCACTTTTTCTGGTGAAATGTAATGACTAGTGATGCACCGACATCGACACCAGTAGTATACTGGGTCTGATACTACAATATACTTTACTATAACAAATACTCATACTCTAAAACATGCACCATACTAGCAACCCAATACTCGTTAACAGCCTCTCACCACACACCAGCTGTGCACCGCTCAGCCAGGGTTGTGTGTGTTCCGGCAGTCTAACTACCCTCAGGGGTAGTTTATTTACGTAGCCCAATAATTTCAGTCTGGAGTTATTTTTATATCACAGAAGAACACAGGACCA